ATTCCTCAACATGATCCCCATCCTCTCCATCGACCTGTTCAGCTTTCCCCAACCAGCCTGTGAAATGTCTCCTACGATGCTGTGTTCAAACATGGTTCTGTCTCTTACATCTCTGTTTTCCTAATGGCATTGAGGTTTGTCAGGCTGCTTCCTAGTGGTGGCATTTGACTTGTTCTCCTCTTCCCTGCTCAGCCTGCCACCTGGAAGTATGGACCAACGCCTCGATCAGATCCAGGTTAAACGCTTTGGACACTGGCATTCCACAGTTGATGCTGTGAGCTTTGCAAGGGACCTCATCACGAGGCAAGGTGTCTGATTGCCCCACAGAGCATGTAGCCGAGGGTTCAGATGCAGCAGCCAGATCCTCCTGTTGTAAAGTCATAGACTTCCCCTCGTGCCCGAGAAGTAATCTGTTGAGGTGACATTTGACCCCAAAGACATGATGTGTCTTTACAAAAGCTTGGCTCCTGAAGTCTGAAATCCCTTTGTAAAGAAACGACCATCCCGCGATTTCTGATTTCTGTCTCTGGACCTCAGTTTCCAAGTCTGTAAAATGGGTGCCATACTCCCGGAGTGTGGGACTGACTGGTGCGGCCGGTTTCCTCAGAACGAGGTCCACCTGAACAACTATCCCTTCCCACCCTGCCCCCTCCCAGGCAATGACACCAACACCTGCGTGTGCCTCAATGCCACGGTGTGCGAGGTCTTCCAGAAGGGCTATCTGATGCTCTACCCCTTCAGCACCGAGTACTGCCTCATCTGCTGTGCCGTGCTCTTTGTCATGTGGAAGAACGTGGGCCGCCGCCTGGCACCCCACGCAGGTGCCCACCCCGGCACACCTCCCTTCCACCTGCACGGGGCCATCTTCGGGCCACTGCTTGGCCTGCTGGCCCTGGTGGCAGGCGTGTGCGTCTTCGTGCTCTTCCAGATCGAAGCAAGTGGCCTCGCCATCGCACGCCAATACTTCATCCTCTACTATGCCTTCTACGTAGCCGTGCTGCCCGCCATGAGCCTGGCGTGCTTGGCGGGCACGGCCATCCACGGGCTGGAGGAGCGAGAGCTGGACACGCTCAAGAACCCCACCCGCAGCCTGGACGTGGTGCTGCTGATGGGCGCGGCGCTGGGCCAGATGGGCATCGCCTACTTTTCCATCGTGGCCATCGTGGCCACTCGCCCCCACGAGCTGCTCAACCGCCTCATCCTGGCCTACTCGCTGCTGATTATCTTGCAGCACATCGCCCAGAACCTCTTCATCATCGAGGGCCTGCATCGGCGTCCGCTCTGGGAGACGGCAGGGAAGCAGGAGGCCGAGCTGCCCCGCCGGGGCTCCCTGCTGGAGCTGGGCCAGGACCTGCGGCGGGCCTCGCTGGCCTACATCCACTCCTACAGCCACCTCAACTGGAAGCGGCGGGCGCTCAAGGAGATCTGTCTCTTCCTCATCCTCTGCAATCTCACAGTGAGTGGACAGGGCGGGAGCGTGGGGACGGAGCTGCCCGGGTGGCCTCAGGGACCCTCAGGAAGGAAGGAATGGTGCGTTCGTTAAGCATCGACTGTCCCAAGGGCAACGGGCCTGTCCCTTTTATTGTCAGGGACACATGCACCTTTCCCACCAGCTCCAAGCTGAGAGCAGTGTCCCCCAGCTCGCTGTAAGGTGCCCGCATGAATGAACGTGCCAAGCATATAGCTAAGTGCTCTTTACAAACATGGAAGATTTCCACCATCAGGAAGTGTACTGTCCAGCTGGAGAGACACCAGGGGGCCAGTGAGGGAATTGCCAAATAATTGATCATCCACTGAATTGGGTCAAAGGGCAGAGATCATCAAGTGCCTGGTTTCCCAAAAGCTCTCTGGGGGAAGGTGTTGACGATGGCTGCTGGCTGTCTGGCAGCTAAAGTCTCGCGTCCACCTCCCCATGCCGTAGCTCAGCTCCTCACTGAATCATCACAGGAAACCCCTGCAGCAGCCACCGTTATGCACCATCCCTGTCCCCATTTGATAGATGGGGAAACGGAGGCTTAGGTTGTCCCACAGCCCGTCAGGGGCAGTGCCGGGACACCCAGGGTCGTTGGAGCGCATGAGGAACACATTCTAGGCGCACCGTGCTGGAAACACCTCAGGTGGTGAAGCCCCTCACACAGGCCACCATACATCATCACCTGGCCCTACGTGCAGTAGGAGTTCAGAGAAGGAAATGTGGGCCCAGTGGGCCAAGGAAGGCCTCGTGAAGATTTAGTCTGGGTCTTGAGAAAGGGGCAGGATTTGGACAGAAGACAGGACCAGGCAGACAGAGCAGAGAGTCAAGACTGGCAGAGAAATGGAGCCAGAGCGGAAGAAGGTGGTTGAGGTCAAGGCATAGGGGAGCCCAGAGCAGGTTGGGCCATGGCTGGTGGCAACGTGAGGCCACATGATCCACCTAGAGTTCAGGCTGGCAAGCCAGGGAGGTGGCTGTGGTACGGGGTGGAGGATTTAGGGAGGAACGGCTTGCTTTGAAAGCCCAGGGCTGAAGGGATGAAGGGATGAAGGCGGTGGGGGGGTGGTGTGCTAGCAGCTTTTGGGGCCTGCCTCCCCTGGGTGGAGTGCCCGTGGACGCAGAGAGCCCTCTCCCTCACTCAACCCCCTCCTCTCCTCCCCAGTTGTGGATGATGCCCGCGTTTGGTATACACCCGGAGTTTGAGAACGGGCTGGAAAAGGACTTCTATGGCTACCGGACGTGGTTCACCATCGTCAACTTTGGTCTGCCTCTGGGGGTCTTCTACCGTATGCATTCTGTTGGAGGGCTGGTGGAGGTCTACTTGGAGGCCTGAGGCTGCCCAAGGACCCACCCCTGGCAGAACACCAAAGTGCCAAGGCTGGGCAGAGGGTAGCCCAGAGTCTCTGAGCAAACACTCCATTTCAGGGGGACCTAGACCAGACTGGATTCCCCAAAGCCTCCCCCTCCCCCAGATCCTCACCGAGGTGGGAGGCACCGTCTGCAGCCCAAGACCAAGGGCAGGGCCTGGACACTGAGCTTCTGATGCTCACACCCAGGACTGGGCACGTGCCTGCCCCTGTTCATCACCACAATCAGAACAGCCCAGGGGACATCCCAGGAAGCCCCCCACGGCTACTCTCCAGGACCGACAGCCCTAAATGACAGAGTCTGGCGGGGGGGGGGGCGCTGCCACCCAGACTGATCTCAGGGGTCTGCCTCATTCTGTGGGGAGGGTACTTGGTTCAAGCTCAGCCCAGGACATTCTAGAAGCTTGCAGCCCAGTGAGCGGGCCTGGCCCTCCCTCCCCACATACCCTGTCTCCTAATGAGCTCATTAATTAGCTACCAGGAAGAGTTCAACAGCTCTCTCCTGCTGCCATAAACCCTGTTTGTTTGATCGATTACATTCAAGCTTCGTGACATTTGTTCTCAGGGACAGAGCTGTCACTTCGAGTATGGTAGGAAGGGACAGTCTTCCTGGTCAGGGCTCTGGGGCTGGGATGGTCCATTTCTGGGCCAGGAGGTGTCTAACCCAGTCCCTCCCTTGCCTGGTTCATGGGAGGAGGTGAGGAGAGGGGCTAGGGCTCTCACATGCCCCCACCCCTCACTAACACACTCCTCCCTGGCACAGAGCCCCAGGTGACTTTCTGCACCTGGCTTAGCACAGGGACTGCAGCCTCTGGCCCGCTGGATCCTCTGAGGCACTGGGTGGAAGGGGCAGAGGCGCTGACGGCCCATCCATCACCCTGAGCCCAGTGTAAACAGTGGGCTGGGCCCCAGGTGAAGCCCAGGGTGAGGCTCAGGGAGGGCAGCCCAGGCTTTGCAGGCCTCTGGGTCCCTCCCCATGATGCTGGGCACTGCCAGGCACAGGGCCGCAGCCCCAGGGGCTCCCAGTGCTGTTTTGGTGGCTTCCTGGGACCAGCACAGCCCCTGGGGGCCTTGCAGAAGGCTGGGAGGCAAGCCTCTGTCCTCTCCTGCCTGGGCGCTTTCTCTGGGTGGCCAGAGCCCAGGGGGGTGCATCCTGGGTGAGAGGATGCAAGCCTCCATTTCCCCACCCGAGAAAATGATAAATGCTGGTTCCCAGGAATATGCTGAGGGCCCTCTGGGGACTGACTTTGGGAGGCAGAGTCCCCAGCTCCCCTGAAGACAAGAGCCACGGCCCGAGCCCCTCCCCTCCAAGCAAAAAGAGCCAGGACATGGAGAGGACGGTTTATTGTGTAAAGAGGCCGATTGTACACAGCAAAGATTGTACTGACACAAATAGGGTGAGGGAGATCCAGAGGCCAGAGCTGGAGGGTGGAGGGGTGGCATCGTGCCCCCTCTGCCCCCCAGTCATCCAGGCAGCGGGTGGGGGCAGGGAGGATCGAATGGTTCCCTCCCCACCCTTCTCTGCCCCTACTGGATAAGAGAGTCAGGCTACATCCATTGACCAGAGAGAATATAGCAGGAGACCCTCAACACCCCACTCCAAACCCCTAAAATGCAGGAGGTCCCCCAGTCTGGCTTCTGCAGTCTAGTAGCCCCTGGTCTCCTCCTCAAGTGACCCGGACACTGTCCTTCCTCCTTTGGGCCCCAGCAGCAAGCCTGGTCCTGGACCAGGTGGTTCCAGGTTAGGAGGCTTGGAAAGGCTCCCCTGTCCCTGCCAGGTGCCTTAAGGGACAGCTCACAGCTCCCTGTAGGGCAGCCCATTAGGGCACCGTGGCCCCTGGGGGTGGGTAGCACAGAAAAGGGGTCTTGAGGGGGAGCCAGAGTGAGGCGGGGGCTCTGGCCAGGGCCTGAAGCCCTGGGGACAGGAGGCTCCTGTGAGTCCACAGCCACCCAGATGCCCCTCTGGGGAGGGGGAGGGCAGGGAAAGGGGTTTGATCACAGCCTGTCCCCACCATCCCAGCTACAAGGGGCCTTTAGAGCCTGCCCCCCAGGACTCAGCCACTCTGTCAGCCCCGGCTCTGATTGTGGTCATTTAAAGCCCAGAACACGGAGTCAGGGGAGCATCAAGGGGCCAGGGCCCCCACCCTCCCCGGGTCCCAGCCTCACACCCGCTGGATCTCAAACAGCTTCACATCTGTGTCGTACCAGACAGGTGGGTCCACATTCCTGCGGAGGGAGTCGGCTGTCACCCCGGGGGTGGGGGGGGGTGGGGGGGGGGAGGGAGGCGGGGGGGGGGGGGGGGGGGGGGGGGGGGGGGGGGGGGGGGGGGGGGGGGGGGGGTGCTGGGAGGCCTTGCAGGAAAGACTGGGGAGGAGCTAGGACGTGGTACAGCCCAAACCCCTTCCACCCTGCTGTCCCCTCCTGGTTGACCGTCCTGACATTAAGCCTACTGCCATGCCGGGACCCAGAGCGGAGGCCCCCGCTGAGTCCCCGCCGGGCAGACACACCTCAGGTAGATGACGCCCCACATGTAGGTGCGGAACCACATGGCCGTGCCCGAATTGGCCTGGTACTTGCGGATGAGGATGGGGTGGGGCACGGGCAGCAGCCCCACCAGGGTGCCGTGCTGCAGGAACCTCAGGATCTCTGACTCGTCCGTCAGGCCCCTGCCAGGAAGAGGAGATGGTTTCCAACGTGCCCACATGGGGAAACCCACCCTGAAAGTCGAGGGGAGCATGGGACCCATGCTCCCGGTCACACCCAGCCCCGCCCCGGCCCACCTGCTGCCCCCCCCTCCCCAGGCCTCACTTGTCAATGCAGATCTTCTCCACCTGGGGAACCAGCACCTGAAGCAGCCTCATGATTGTCTGCAGTGGCAGCTTGGACTTCCACGAGAGAACCTGGGGGAGGGACGGGGGTTCCTGGGGCTGGGAGAGCAGCCCCCACCGGTGAGGGGATAGGCCTGACCCCTGACCCAGAAGCACGGGCTCCCCGGGGCAGAAAGGGTCCCCGCTCACCACAACAAGGGCCTGGCCCAGGGCAGGGCCCATGAACACTGACAAGAGCTGTGGCCTGTCATCGAGCATAAACTACATGCCAAAAGCTGTCCCCTTGGATCCTCGCAATGACATGACCAAGTAGGACGTTTATCCCCACTGAAGCACAATTAGTAGTGATCACAGGACACACACAAGGGAGTGGACAAGTGAACTGGGGAAGGAAGCTGGAAAGGAAAGCTTAGTAAGGAAGCCAGCGCTGTGGGCAACTGGAGTTCAACCCTGCAGCATATTCCGGAACAACGTAGACAGAGGAAGCAACCCAGCCAGAGAGTCCAAGGTCACCCAGCCGGAAGGAGTGATCTGGAGCCTGGCTCCCAGGCTCGTTCTTGGATTTGGACACATTCCCCTCCGAGCCTTCACTGAGCTGTTCGTAGGGCCAAGAGCCCCCACCCCGCCCCCACCTCAGAGCCACCTGCCCAAACCCTCACCCACTCCGATGTTGGGCTCCACTGCCCACTGGCTGACGCGCTGGACAGTCGCCGCTGCTCCCGCCATGCCTGGCCGGGCTCCTGCACCCAGGGAAGGGACAGGAGTGAGGGGTACAGGGAGCAGGCATGGGGCAGAGGACAGAGGGAAAGCCCTTCTTCCCAGGCCCTCCCATAGCCTGGAATCTAGGAGGCAATGACACTGGCCCCCTTGGCGGGGGGCTCACTCCGAACGGTGGGGACAGCCCAACCCAGTATCCTTTGCCCTGGGCTTCAGGCCCTGCCCGACCCAGCCCAGCCTGATGACAGGTTTCAGGCTAGGGGCTGACTGGGCTGGTCGGGTAAAGGCCAGCTCAGCTCAGATAAGATTGATGGATGAGGAGTCTGAAGGCCAAGGGCTAAAGCCTGGGACCAGTAAACAAGGGAGAGGTCTGTGAAAGCACCCCGAGTCCCCAGATGCCCTGGGCACTGGGTTTCTGCCCTCTGTTGCAGGTAATCCCAGAGCACCCTGGCCAGGCCCCCACCGCAGAGGCTGGGGAGAAAGGGAAGTCCCAACCTCACCCCACTGTGGGAGTCCCCGTCACCCACCTCTGCAGTGGGACTGCCATCCGCCGAGCTCTGCTGGGACGTGGGCTCCAGGGATCGCAAGGTGCCATCCTCTGACACCTGGGACTTCTCCGTCAGCTTGTCAATGCCTGGGGGTGGGGGCAGGTGGGTGTGAGGACACCTGCTGTGGGGCCCCTCCGAGGAAGCATCTGCGCTGGGCCTCGCAAGGCCCCCTCTTTCCCCCACTTTAGCGATGCCATGCCTGACCCCCGCACACCCAGTTCTGAGGCACAGTCCCGCCCCCCCAACCAAGCTAGTCCTCCTCTGCCTCCCAATATCCTCACCCCCACCCCTGCGGCCATTCCCGTACCCTCAGCTTCCCAACACAGGCCATGCCCTTTGCCAGAGATTGCATGACATCCCAGAGACCCTGTCTGTCCCCCAACCACTCAGGCACCCACACCCCCCTGCCACCCGCCAGGGCCAGACCTGGGGTGGCCACCAGGCTGGTCTTGAGAGTGCCGGGCTCGGCGGGGGCGGCAGGGCGGGAGCCCTCCATGGAGGCGCCCTCTTGTGAGCCGGTTCGGGACAAGGGCTCAGCCGTCCGTCGGCGCCGTTGCAAGGCCTTGTGGATGGCAGGCGGGTCGGTGGGCAGGTTGGCCAGCTGGTGGAAGACGCTGCGCTTTCGGATGATGGCGTAGACCAGGTTGGAGTTTCCTGTAGAGAGGGAGCACGCCTCACCTCGGGGAGGCCCCCTCGCCTCCCCCTCCAGCTGGGCAGGTTTCTGGGAGGGGGAGTCTGGAGGACAGGAGGGCGTCTGACCCCAGAGGTAGGAGAGGGTACAGGGCACCCAAGAGACAGAGCTGCAGAAGGACTGGCACCCGGCAGTGGGGGTGGCAGTAGCTATACCGAGATGTCACATTGTTGGAGAAGAGCTTCTGGGATGAGCTCCCCCCGTGCCCTCCCCAGTCCCTTCCAGACCCCCTCACGGCCCAGCACACTAAAGGGCAACGCTGGCAAAGTGGGGCAGGCCCAGCATGTCAGTGTCCACACCAAGCCAGCTGTTCAATATTTTGACCACGTCCCTAAGCCAGGTCACCAGGAAGGAAGGACAATAAGGACAATATGGCCTGGGCCTGTGCTCTGCTGCCCACACTGAATCCCCTCGGCTCTGGGCCTTCAATGCCCCATCCAGCTCTCTAGTCCTGCCTCTCACCACACTGTTCTGCTTTCAGTTCAGCATCTCACCCCAGGGCCTTTGCATATGCTGCCACCCCACACGATGCTTTTCTACCCTCCCCCACCCCCATTCCTCCCTCACGATCAGTGCAAATATTCCTTTTGGAAACAATAATAACCACTAATATTGAAGTCGCCAGACACTCTGCTAAATGCTTCTTGTGGGGTATTATTTATTCTTCCCAACACCCTCAGAGATAAGGACTCTTAGTACTATCGTTATGACTGTCTTATAGCCAAAGAAACTAAAGCTCAGAGAGGTTATGTGCCCACAGTCACAGAGCTAACAAGTGGCCAGGCCCGAATTTACAGCAGGCAGCCTGGCATTTACAACATTCACAGGGCCGGCGCCACTCCGAACTTCCCTTTCATCAGATTTAAGGTGACCTGTTTGGGTGACCGTCCACTTGAAGCCTCCCTCCGTGCCTCCATCCCCAGCTGGGAGCTCCATAGGGGAGGAAGCATTCTGCTTTGCTCTCCACCGTATCCCCTCCACCCAGCACTGAGCTTGGTATACAGCAGGTGCTTAATAAATGCATGTTGCATGGACTGGGGGCGGCGGGACAGGGAGCTGTGTCCTCCTTAGACGGGAAGGTGTCCTTGCGCACTGCCTGCCCTGATTCCCATCCAGGCCAGGGGCTCGGGCTGCTGCCTCACCATCAAACTGGTACTGGATGATGTTGTTGAAGGCCTCCAGGAGGAAGAAGACCAGGTGGTGGTTCTGGGCAGCAGAGAAGAGGAACCAGGTGGTGGAGAAGGCCTCCAGCAGGTGCAGGAGCTTATTGGCAGCTACCATGGACAGGCTCTTGAGGTAGGGGGACACTGCAGGGGAGGAGCCAGCTCACTCCTGGGGCCCCTGCCAGCCCTCTCTGCACACCCCCAGCCTGAACAGGACTTCAAACCCCTGCTTCAAACCCCTGCCTGCCCCTTGCCTGTAAAGCCCCCCACAAAGCCAGGAAGAACGAGTCCTCAGAGGCCAAGGCCACACTGGCCATGCCTTCTACAGGACTCCAGGGGGACAGCCCTACTGTTCACAGAGCCACTCACACATGGCCTCTCGCCCACTCCTCACCACACCTCTGAAAGGTGGCGGGGGGGGGGGGGGAGGCGGGTCCGGACACAGATGAAACCATCCCCGTTTTTATACAGACTCGGAGAGGTTTGTAAACTTGCCCAAAGTTCCCCGTTATAAAATGATTGAGCAGGGATACAAACTCAGGATCCGTGAGTCTTTCTGGAATATGAAACGGATACTCCACGCATAATTAGAAACTTATTTTTTGCAGGGCGTGTGAGGGGGAGTCAGAGATAAAGCGTTGTGCATGGCATGAAGCCATATATCGATCTGTGAGCTTCTTTGTCTCGTGTCTTTCTCCCTCACCAGGCTGGGGCAGGGACGGTGGCTTTCTCGTTCACAAATGCATTTCTCAGAAGCAGCTACACTTAGACAGTGCTCAGTTAAAATGTGTGAGACAGAGCCGGGGAGTGAACCAGTAAGGGAAGGTGCGGTTCTGGCCCCAGAGCTCAGGGTGCACCTAGGGGCCTCCAGGGCCCAGCTCCGGCCCATCAACTCTGGAGTCCAATCCACTCCCTCCCAAGACGTCCTCTCCAAAAGTCAGCCGCACATAAGTCATCCTGCCTCAGCCCACAGCCACCCTGCTTCCTGGGTCCGGCATGCCAGCCAGCCTGAGCCCCTCCCCTGGGACACAGGGGTCTGCAGTCCTTGCGGGAGGCTGGGGCACATCCTGGCGCCCTGAGACCACACTGTCCAAATCCGTGCTGTCCAGCACAGTCACCACAAGCTGTTTGTGGCCATTTAAACACTTGAAACAAAGCTACTTCTAACCGAGATGTGCTGCACATGTGAAATACACAAGATTTTGGAGACTGGATGTGAAAAAGAATATAAAATATCCCAATAATTTGGGGGGGCGCCTACGTGGCTCTGATTTTTTAGTTCGGCTCAGGTCATGATCTCACGGTTTGTGAGATTGCTGAAAGCACGAAGCCTGCTCCAGATTCTCTCTATCCTCCTCTCTCTGCCCCTCCCCCACTCGTTCGTTTGTTTTTTTTTTCCTCTCTCTCTCTCTCTCAAAAATAAATAAATTTAAGGGGCGCTTGGGTGGCTCAGTTGGTTAAATGTCTGACTTCAGCTCGGGTCATGATCCCAAGTTTGTTGGGTTCAAGTGCCGTATCAGGCTTTGTGCTGACAGCTCAGGGCCTGGTGCCTGCTTTGGATTCTGTGTCTCCCTCTCTGTCTGCCCATTCCCCTGCTCACGCTCTGTCTCTCTCTCTCTCTCTCTCTCTCAAAAATAAACATTTTAAAACTTTTATATAAATAATTAAATTTAAAAAATTGAGAAATGTATATCCTAATAATTTGCATGGGGTATAATTATATGTTGAGATGATGGTATTTTGGATAGAGTGGATTACATAAAATATATTATAAAATTATTGTCACCTGCTTCTGTTTTGTTGTTGTTGTTGTTGTTGTTGTTTGTTGTTGTTGTTGTTGTTTTTAATGTGGCTACTAGAAAATTGACCAGTGTAAAGGAAGCTACCATCATACTGCTATTGGAAGGGAGGGGTTTGAGCCAGGGAGGCACGGCCGGTCAGCCCGTGGCCTGGCGCCACCTGGTGGTGAGCACTGGGAAGGCGGGCTCCCAGCCCCCCTACCGTTGACCACGATGGTGAGCAGGCAATCGAAGAGGGGTTGCAGCCGCTGGTGACCGCTGGTGATGATCTTGTGGAATACCTGTACGAGGAGGCAGAGGGGTGGCCGTGGGGTCCCCTCCACCTCCATACTGGGCCAAAAGGACATCCCCCCCGTCCCCAGGCCCTGGCTGAGGGAGGCCCCTCACCACAATGAGCAGGTCTGCGTGAGTACCGGTAAAGACCGGGATGTCCATGGGCACGCGCACTGAGTAGGGCTTGTTGAGCCGCACCCCAAAGTTCCGCTCGCCGCTCAGAAGCAACAGGATGAAGACTCCGATGTGCATCAGGCCCACCCGAGCTGCGGCAGGCGGTAATGAGAGTAAGTCACCACACAGGGTGCGGAGGGGAGGAAGGGAGCCCGGGGCAGAGACCCATCTCAGAAGCCCAGGAAGAAGTCCCTTCTGGGAGGTCAGAGCCCCAAGCCTGAGCTCCCCGGGGGCAGCACAGACCGGCCCGACCCACCCCCTCTACAAGGAAGCACCCCCCCCCCCCCCCGGGATCTCATGCCCGCCCCAGCCTTACACTGATCCGCTCGGGCATCATTGAGGAAATAGAGGGTGGGGACCAGGATGTCCAGCACATCACTGCTCTTCAGCACAAAGAAGAGGAATTTCTGGGGGGGGTGGGGGGGGGACAGGTGGGCAGGGTCAGGGGGGAGACGGCTCTGCCCCACCCCCTCCCCATCCTGGGAGTGTCCCCAGACACTGTCCCCAACCCTGGGCTATCCAGAGTGGCCGCTCCCCATCTCAGGGGAGACCGCTGCCCGCCAGGCCAGGTCCCCGAGGCCAGCCCACCTTATTGAAGTCACAGAGCTTCCAGAAGAGGACCAGCAGCTCCTGATGGAACTGGATCTTCTTGGTGGAGTTGGGCAAATAGGTCTGGAGCAGAGGGTTGGAGAGTAGCCGGGCTATGCCCTTGAGGATGAACTGAAAGTCCTGAGTGGGGGACAGCGGGGACCTGTCCAGTCCAGCCCTCTGTGGCTGCGGCTTCCCCACAAACGCCTCCTCATTCCCCCGGAGCCTGGTCCCACCTCTAGAGCCTGAAAGGCCCAGGTTCTGTCATCAATAGCTGTCCTGATGCAGGCCCCTCAGGAAGCTGAGTCCAGGGCAGGTCCGGAGGGAACTCCTGCCCCTCCCCCAGACCACAGGCTCCCCTGTCCCCGAGCAAGGCTGCTCTTAGTGACCCCCCACACCCACACTCTGAACTGGACTCTGTGTTAACCGATGCCATGCTCCCACCCCTCCCCATCGCCCTGTCACACTGGAGGCACACTCTACTATTCTCAAAGAGCGGTCACTCACTCAGCACCTGCTACAAGAAATCCTCTCAACAAGGCAAGGGGGCAGTTACTGTTTCCATGTTACAGCCGCAGAAGCCAGCGCTCTGGGAACACAAGAACCTCCCCCAAGGTCCCAGGACACAAGAACTCAGGTCTGCCTGGCCTCTAAGGCCACTGTCATTCCCCTGACCAAAACCTGACCTCAGAGCCACCTCCTCCTGGAAGCCTGCCCAGTTGTCCTTACCCAGTTGAGGCCATCAGCCCTTTTCTGCGTCTCAAAACCCTCGAAGTCCTGCCATCACGGTTTCACCGGGGGTGGCCAAGTCCACAGGGACCCTGGTTCCTTCCTGTAGGGGTCAGGACTCCCCCTACCCCATCTCGTCTCCAACCCCTCGCCCCCCTGCAAGGCCATAACCACTGTGGGGGGTGGGCATTGAGAATCCACCGGAGCAAGAGGAGTGTTCAACTCACCTCTTCACGATGGATGCGGGACAGGTAGTTCACAAACAGGTTCTCAGGTCCTGGAGGCTGCCAAGAGTGGAGCCTGGGATAAGCGGGTGGCTTCACCCTTGCCCCTACCCCAGGGCTCCCTCAGACATCCCCAGGCTCACCACGAGGTGCCCACCTGGTATCCCTTGCCCAGCTCTGCTAAAGAGAGTGCCCCGAGCCTGGCAGGGCCAGCTGCCCTCCCCCCACTCCCATCCTTACGTCCGTGTCATCCATGGCAGTGCCCGTCGTGGTGCCGTCCACGGTGGGGCTGGCGCTGGTGGCACTGTCATGGTCCAAGGTGACAATGAGCACCTGGGCAGCCTCCTCCACCAGGGGTTCCCGGTAGTCGGAGAAGAGCAGGTGGTTGTAGGGGATCCCGTAGCCCACAGGGTCATAGGCACACACGGTGTTGAGGAGGGAAGTAAACAGGGGCAGGGCGTGTCTGCGGCAGAGGAGGGGCGAGGCTGTGGAGACCACGAGACCAGCCCTCGTCCACCTCCCAGGTGGCCACGCAGGAGGGTCAGCCAGGCCACCCCCTCGTTCCACAAGTGTTCCGGCGCTCGCCCTAGGCTGGGAGCCAGATTACAGAACCAAGCTGATCCCCTCCTGAGTTAAGAGAGACACCCCGCCTTGTCCTTGCCTGCATCCAGAACCCAGGCCAGGCTGGGCCAAGCGCAGAGGAATTTATTACCAAGAGTGGGATGGCCAGTTATATGGGAAATCGTGTCGATACCCCTTAGATTTTTCTCCCAAGGGCTAAAGCCTATTTTTTTTTTAAATTTTTTTTTTCAACGTTTATTTATTTTTGGGACAGAGAGAGACAGAGCATGAACGGGGGAGGGGCAGAGAGAGAGGGAGACACAGAATCGGAAACAGGCTCCAGGCTCTGAGCCATCAGCCCAGAGCCTGACGCGGGGCTCGAACTCATGGACCGCGAGATCGTGACCTGGCTGAAGTCGGACGCTTAACCGACTGCGCCACCCAGGCGCCCCAAGCCTATTTTTTTTTAAATGTAAGACTATTTTTAGAGCAGTTTTAGGTTCACGGCAAAAATCACAAGGAAGGAACAGAGATTCCCCTGTACCCCCTGCACCCACACACGCACAGCCTCCCGCACGCGGCACTTTGCCACACCGAACCTACGTGGACACATCATCAAACCCATAGTTTACATCAGGGTCCATTCTTGGCACTGCGCCATCTACAGGCTTGACAATGACCCTCAGGTCTTTGAGAGGCAGATACCCTCCCTTGGGACTTCAAAAAACGGGCTGGGGTCCCACCAGGTGGGGGGCGTCCCCTCAGGGAGCCTCCTGAGCTGCCTGCACCACCCTGGGCACAGCTCTGCACAGCATGTGTAGCTGCTAAGTCCCACCATGTGCCCCCAGAGCCCAGGGACGCCCCCATGTGGGCCACTTCCCCATCCTTCGGGGTATTTCACGATGCCTTCTCCCCAGCCACTCTTCAGTGGCACTGCTGGATACAAGCCTCATGTAGCCATTGAGAGTTTACAACGTGGCTGGTCTGAATGCAGATGTAAGTATAAACTACACGGCGGATTTTGAAAACTTAGCATGAAGGGAATGTAAAACCGCTCAATAATTCTGCACACTGGTTATATGCTCAATGGTAGTAGTATTTCGGATATATTCGGCTAAATGAAAAATTAGAATTAAGTCCACCTGTTTCTCTTTTATTCTTTTACTGTCACCACTGGAAATGTTCGACTTGCATATGCGGTTGGCGTTATATTTCTACGGGACAGCACAGCTCTAGATGGAGGACCCAGGCACCATTCCC